TTCAGAAGACTTGCGTCTTTCATCTCCTGCAGCACTTCCACTGTCTTCGGATGGGACTGGAGATGGGAACGATTCTGGCTGGTGCTTTTACAAAGTATATAACCATGAAGCTTCAAGTTAATCTCAAACAGTTCAAATTTAGGAAATGAACAAAAAGGACATATAGGTCAAGCTGTGACTATGTCTATGAATCTAAAAATTATATAATTTCATTAGTAAATATATAAGACTGCATGTAACTTTGATCAATTTTGTAACTTTAACAGATGGTGTAAAACACAATATAGCAACTATCACTGTTGACTGTCATCAACAAGAGAAATGTATATGTACATACATATTTACACATAAAAGTGTGTGTGTGTGTGTGTGTGTGTGTGCGTGTGTTGTAATCGTATTTTAATTGTTATTTTCATAACTATTTGTGTCAGGAGTCTGGTTTTGAAAGCCTGTTAGTGAAACAAAGAAGTGCTCACCTTACGAAATGCTCTTAGCAGTCTATAGCGATTGTTTTTAGTGTTTGGAATGGTAAGTGCACTGCACACCTGTCCCCAAAAGCCGTCTTTATGTGTGACATTATCGTCAAAGTTGATTACATTTTTTTTCAGGAATTCAACTGACTCCACAATTTCCTCGACTGATACATGTTTGGTTTTGTTCTATAGAGAAAAAAATCCATTAATACAATTAAAAACATAGTTGTTGGACATAGTTATTGAACTGCATTTTCATAGATGGAAGGTACGCTAAAATTACTCACCCCAAACACCCTGAATGAGCGCACTCTGGGGGAAAATCCAAAGGGACAGTCATTACGATGACAACTTACATGTTCCTGCTTTAGGCCTATATAGTGCTCAAAACATAACCATGAAATAAGTTTTCAAAGTTATCATCACCGTGATTATTTTTACATGATAGCGTCAACGAGCATCATCAGTTTCGGCAATTGATTGATCTTAGGAGTGGCCTAGTAAAACGTATTTAATGAATAATAAAGTATTGCATTACATAACTCAGACCTCACATGAAAACGGTATATATAAATATATATAAATGGTTGAATAGTGCTACTTAATTGGTTGTTCATGCATTTTGCTAATGGTGGGTAGCAAACACTTGACTGTCGACATAATGTTGCTTAAATGCCCAAACAAAATATAGTTATTTAAAGTAGAGGGGCTCTAATATGTAATAAAAGTTGCGGTCACCCTTGCTCTTTCTTCGACATCC